CAAGCTAACAAAATATGTTCTAAGAAAGTTTTGCTAATGTTATGGAAACGTTTTTAACAAATGTTCTCTGAATGTTCAAAACGTAATTTTTAATTGTTTTAAATTTAATTCTGAAGATGAAAGAGATCCGCACTTGTCCAAATTCAGCCAAAAAGGCTTATAACATTTATTGCTCAGAGGTCACAAAAATATGTACATAAAAGTGCAAATGTGCAAAGGTGCAGAACGTTTTCGGGTATTAAAGGGGTCAATTTCAATTTCAATCTCAATCGCAAAAAAGCGATTTAAATTTTTCCTTTCTCTTTGGAGTGTTACAAGCTCTAAAAATCGACGCGTTTCAAAAAGGCGGGGCATAGAGGAGAAACAATAATGTACAGTATGTGGAAAATAATGTGTTTTTTTAACCTTAAACCGCATAAACACATTTCATTACACCAAATACACAAAATAATGTTCTTTTTAGCAGCATCATATGACCCCTTTAACCCTTCCTCAGTGCCATGTGCTACCAAGCAACACCTGCGCTCATTAAAAAATGTATTACCTTAATATAGCCTACCTAATGTCAGGAAGATACCGCAAAAACACGTAGGCCTATATATCTCAAAACATATAATCAAATACATCAAAAACATTTATAAATCATCAAAAGAAATCCATATATAACTACATAACAAAAACAAAAATATACACACAAATATATAGCCTATCAGTAATATAATCTCATAACTCCAACACAAGTTTTAAACATCAGTTTCTATATATAATAAATAGACGTCATACCAAGTTTCAGGTTTCTATCCTTTAAATTATTATAAAAACAATTTTGATTATATGTTTTGATATATACATGTTTTTGCTGTATCTTCGTGACATTAGTATATTACGGTAATGCATGTTTTAATGAGCGCAAGTGTTGCTTGGTAGCACATGGCACTGAGGAAGGGTTAATACCCGAAGATTTTATGCATTATAATGTTTTAATCACAATTAGAAAAAGTTGTAGTGTCAAACACTCGTCCAAAAATATGTGCAAAAAAGTGCAAATGTGCCTCATTTGCACTTTATTTCACATATATTTTCGTGACCTCTGAGCAATAAATGTTATAAGCCTTTTTGGCTGAATTTGGACGAGTGCGGATCTCTTTCATCTTCATATTTTCTATATTTTGGATCTATGCACCCTATGTTATTTGCCTACTGGATTTTTGGACGAGTGTTTGGCGCAACAACCATTTCTAATTGTGGATTTAAATTTAATTCTGAAACAAGTAGTAACATTTTTAAAAAATGCTAGACAAATGTCTAACTAAAGAAACCATTTCATAAAAAAATTTCAAGAACATTTTTGAATAACATAAATGTTACATAAAAAAATTATAATAGTAATTATCCAATGTCCAACTATAACATTAAAAAACTTCCATTACGTATAAATAATGATTTTTTGCACAAAACTGAGAACATTATTAAAGACCAGATAATGTTGAACAAACATTCTGTTACCATTACTAGAAGATGTTTGTTGAGAACCTTGCCACAATGTTCTGAGGAATCCAAACCAGCGCCATCACCAGGCACCACTGGTTCATGAGAAAGGAAATCTTATTTGCACGCCTACAGCTTTCTCTCTCTCTCATACACACACACACACACACACACACACACACACACACACACACACTTCTATTCTTTCAGAGACATTTTACTACCCAGCTTTATCATCACTTGAACTGTCTGGGGCTTTTCATTTTCTTCAAGCATGCGCTGACGTTCACTGTGATATTAGCCTCGAGCTGCATGTGCTTTTCAAGCTGATCTATGACCTTGTGAAGGTGTTTCCATGTTATGTTAATAGCCTGTTGCTTTTCCATTCCACAGTCCATTTTCTAGCATTGTTGTTTATGAGTAAACATCACTGGGAATACAGTAGTGTTCTACCGCTGATGATAGCCGGATTTTAGATTAGTCTGTTAAAAATTAGTGCCAAATGTCACGCAAAACATTTCAAATGAATCTGGATTTCAAGTAATGATGGAATGAAATTGCGATGCCTGACAAGATACCTTTTTATAGCTAATAATATGTAATAGCCAAAAACACATTTTCACAACATATTACATTGAATCAACATTTCTTGGCATGTTGGAATTGCATTTTTCCATGTGCTGCTGCTAACGTCCTGTTCAGTCATTCCTGTCAGTGTCACATCAAGTGTAAAATGAAACTGAAGCCAAGCTTTAAGAAGGCACAGCCTTGTGCTGGCATGACATTTCATCTAATAGAATTTAAAGCAGGACAAGACACATCTAGAATACGAAACAAAAAATAAAGAGAGGTGCAAGAGAGGTGCAGATCTCATATCTAAGGATCACCTCTCAAATAATATGCTGCAATATGCCAAGTGGGTTGAGAAAAAGAAGATTGAACACATTGTAAGAAGAGAATTCCAAGATAAATGTTAGGTATTTTCTAGCCTTAAGAGAAAATGTAGTTGTAGCATGTATGAAGGCAGACCGTGCTACAGTACAAAGCTAAATAAGGAGTATTTGAAATATAATAATCAAACAAAACCAAACAAACAATATATAACTGAATCAAGCTTTTACTTTCAATACAAGCATGTAAAATAAACCAAAATTAGACGATTTAGTAGTTTTTTTTGTTTATGGATTATTTATTTATTTATTTGTTGGTATTATTTATTTTTTGCTTTACTTTGATTCTTGTTTTGTTTAGTTTGTTTCTGGCATTACTCTGCTTTGATTTTAGATTTATTTTAGACTTTTTTTTGGCTTTGCTTTTTATTTTGTTTCTGGCTTTACTTTGCTTCCATTTTTGTTTTGTTTTGTTTTTGGCTTTGCTTTGATTTGATTGTTGTTGTGGCTTTAGTGTACCTCCAGTTTATTGTTTATGCAGAAAGCATTTTTGACAATTATGATGTTACAGTCTTGTAAAGTCAAAAAATTATGATGCAGTGACAAAAAAAGGGCATTTCTTTGATATTCCCTGAACCTTGTTATTACAAAGGACACAGATAATCCATTTTTGTGACTGAAAAACTGAACATCATAAAACCATTCTTTCAAAGGCCAAACCTATTTGCTGCTAGTATTTCCTTTGCTTTCAAAAATATAGCAAATTAATTACTTCTGTGAACTCCAGAAAACGAATCTACTGCTTGAACGCACAAGCTAAATCTAAATTCATGCCACATATCTTTTCATCTGAAAGATACATTGAGTGAGAAGCAAAACTGACAGGCAGCGATAGCTTATCTGTAATACATGTGGACAACATTTAGCCACTGAGGAGGTGGGTGGAAAAATGACTTATTTGACAACAGCAATTCAGAGTGCTGGCCTTTATGTGAGTGTTCAATCTCTTACAAGCCTCATAGACATGTTCGATTAAGAGTTTCTACAGAAATATGAGGAAAACCATGTACACGTTTTTGCAGGCACATAAACTGGTTATACAAACACAAGACCCCGGGATTGTGCAGCTGTTTCATTGGCTTAGCTGGCTTATATCTGTACCATCACAAGACTTCAAGCTCAGATAGAAAGGTTGTCAGGTAATGTTATGTTTAAACCCCTCAAATCACACAATCATGTCCACGACACATATATAAAATATCTAACATAAATATTCAACAGTTCTGTCATTTGCTCGCTTAAGAAGGCTTCTTACAGATGGCACATGATTGAATTTATGCAAATAGCAACATCACTGCTTGTCTTTGTACCTCTTTAAACCATAAAGGAGACTTATGAAGCCTGTCTTATCCACTCAAAGCTTTGGAACATGGTTTACGTATACATACATTAAGTGAACAAATTGAAAAGACGAAACATCCTAAGTAGCAGAATTACAAGCCGAACATATTCAACAAAAACAGGCACTATACAGTTTGGTATTTAATGCTTTGTTTAATGTTTATGACAAGAATACTACAAGTGTATTTGTAACTTTTTTACTTCTAAATTTGACGTGTCACACCGTCAAGCTCTTTCACTTCTGTAAAACAGGGTTCCCACTCTTTCATGAACACCAGATTCAAGGACTTTCAAGGACTTTTTCAAGCACCATTTATTTTATATCAAGCACCTATCAAATTCACACCCCAGCATATGTAGTGTCATGAAAGACCTTACATTACTTAACATTTAACCACTTAAACTTAACATTTACATAAAAAATTTCAGAGTAATAATGTTTTGAATGTTTTGAACCGTTTTGAGCAGTTGTGTTCAAAGGAATTTAATGAAATCCATTGAAGTCAGTACTGGTAATATTCAAATTAAATTTCTAAAATATTGATAAAATATGCATCAAACTGATTTTTGCTGTAGTTCTTGTACGAGATTTAAATTTGAAAGAATTTCTCCATTTTTAAATTAATAAAAAGTGGTTAAATGTTGTAATAACATGGTAAAAGCTGATAACATTACAAATTTGCACATTCACTCAAAAGATACGTTACTCATTAATAAATAAACTCAAGTCAAAATAATGTTGTAAATTACTTTTTATTGTAAATCCAAATCTTTATGTATGGGTAATCATGAATCACTGACTCACTAGATTCGTTCAAAAACGCACTTTCATTCATGCATGAAACTCGGCTGTGTTTGCTTTTAGAGATGCGCAGCGGCTCAGCTGTTACTATAATTGGAACTATTTTCGTTGATGATAAATATATACAACAAGACAATAAGAATGTTTGCGGGAGCGTGACACACACGTTGCGGGAGTGGGCGGTAATGGTCAGAAATTCAGGGGGAGCGGGTTTAAGAAAACTGTCCCGCTCAGGTCTCTAGGTTGCGCGTCAACACACACGTTGTTTTCCCCGCGCTCCCCCATCTCCACCCCCAATCATTAGTGCCGCTTGTTCGGTCTTTGACAGAACATATAGGACAATTTTTTAAATAGCACCATAGACAAAATTTATTTCAAATTTAATTCAAGCACTTTCAAGGACCTATGTTTGGTTTCAAGTACTTTCCAGGCCTTGAATCCATATGTCTGAAATTCAAGTACTTTCAAGGAGCGTGGGAACCCTGGTAAAAGCACAATTTCTTCCACAGCTAATGAACAAACCGCATCATTTCTTGCCAAATGAGGCAGGAGGCGAGCAATGTCTTTTCAGATGTGATCCAGAGTAACATGTCTGCATTTGAGTAATGTAGGCCTTGCTGTATTTATAATGCACTTCTCCCAGTAACGAGTGGCATGGAAAGGGCACGGCATGCCTGCTCTTTTAATTAAAACAAATGAAAGATCCATTATGACACTGAATAGTCAGACCCTCATTCTCCTCCTCCATTTCTGCCTGGCAGTAATGTAAGAGGAGGAGGCCAAGTGGAGGGTGTAAAAGCAAAGGTAGAGCCTGTCATTCATTAGCCTGATGTGCTATTCAAGTCGAGCCATTATTTTAAGTTTAATGAAAAGACTCCGACTTGAGTGACCAGGAACGTTACAAAAAGCGACTTTTAGGTGTCAAATTGGTTTATGTAACATTTCATATAATTTATTTTCAACTATGGGAAGAGTTTTGTATTTTTATTTTTTTACATAGTAAGCATATTATGAAATGTGTTTTTTATTAACTTATTTAGAGCTTCTTTAATCATACTGTTGTATAGTTTTGTTTAGCTGCACAGCTGCAGCAGTTTCATCACATTGACAGTCATTATCTGCCTGCAATAACAGCTACATAACAGAGCTCAAAACAACAATTAATGAAACATAACACATGAAATGTAAAGAAAAAAAAGACACAATATGACTCATTTGCCTTCTTAAAATGGAAAATGGAATCATATTTTTAACATTATTTAAACATTTAATTGGACTTGAAGTAGACATTATGTATTTAAGACATGTAAAAGCATGCATAATGAACACAATATGTATGTGATCTTAAACAGAGCTGGAATATTTTGTGAAAGATCAAAAGATCTAGTGGTTTGGGGCACAACACATCGACAACATCCTGCAAGTGTGTATCTTTGAGAAGGGGGCTGTGATGGCAGCTAGGTGAGATTTGTCCTCTGACAGATTTGGAGCCGCAGCAGTCCCAGTTAGAGCAGCTGAGAGTTGACACCTCAGGGCCGGACAATGCATAAGCATGTTCATCGTCTGTGACAGAAAAGTACTGGATAGTCACATCCTGGCCTGGTGACATCCTCCAACCCGATCTCTGGGAATTATTCGTAGCTCCGAGCCGTGTTTCAGGAACACATTTCCTGTAGAATCAGAGAGATATAATATATTACAAACAGGTTTTTTTTAATAGTTTTATTTTAAAATGACAAAGCAGGTTAATGCAGCACAAAAAAAAAAGAACAGTTACTATTTCTCTTAGCAGCACAACCTGAAATGCGTCAAAATGAACATATTCAAAACACCACAAATAGGTCATTTATAAAACAATTTAAAAGCACTGGGAATAAAAGAACGTTGATGACTTTTTGTTTTGCTTTTGGGCGTAACATGTTCCCTACTTCGACGAAGTGAATAATTAGATGCTGGAGCTACAGTCAAGAAGCTGTGCAAAGGTGATGAATCGTTCCATAAGTATGTTAGTGAAGGTACGTATAGCCTCATCACGCTTTTTGCTTAATGAAGGAAGAAAAGATGGAATACCTATTATCTGACAACAATGTTTTTGTACCCTCTCTAACTCATAAGAGAGACCTTTAGGCAGTCCAACCCCACACTGGGCTTGCACTCAAGAATTGGCCATATGAAAGTCAAGTATATTTGCATTAAAACATTGCATAGGAGACCCGCTCTCTTTGCAGCACTAAGATAATTAATTCTTGGCCGTGACTTTGAAATCATATACTTGATGTGTGCATCCCATGACAAATCAGATGTTATTTGAACGCCAAGAAGTTTAAAAGTGGAGACTCTGCTGATTACTTGTCCCGAAATTACTGGAAGAGGAGGAGAGGGGAAGTGATCATCTCTCCTAGCACTAATTACCATATACATGGTCTTAGCTCCACTCATTGCCAGTGAGAATTCCTGTCCCCACTCTGCCACTGAGTCCAAGGCCTTTTGAGTTAGGCCAAGTAAGGATCCCATTAGAAGATCAGTGATTGTTAGATCATCGGCATTTTTTCACAGGAATTATAAAAGGGGGCAGATGTAAATCCAAGCTGTTTATACTGATGACAAAAAGTAGAGGGGATAAAAGTCCCCCATGGGGAACACCAGCTGGATTTAAATAGGAGTTAGACACGCAGAGACCCCTCTTCACCATTTGCTCTCTGTTAGTCAGATAGCTATTTACAATAAGCCAACGGGGGCGCCGGGCATGCATATCAGCCAGAGCATAAAGTAACTGTCAATGCTCAATTGTGTCAAAAGCTAGAGTAAAATCAACAAAAACAGCATGAATGGCCATTGTGGGATTGTTATTAAGTGCTTCATGCCATAATTGTAGAATCTGAATCAGAGCAATGTCAGTTGATCTGTTCGCAATAAAGCCATGTTATGATGGAGCAATCTTGGTGACTGTATCCTCCAGAATGGCATCTCTGAGGATTCCTTTGTACATTTTTCCAACACAGCTGATTAATGAAATCTGGCGGTAATCTGCTGGAAAACTAGGTTTTGAATTTTTTTGAATAGTTTTAACCATAGCCTCCTTCCATTGATTTGGAAAAATGTTATATTGAATCCATGTGTTAAAGATATCACATAGTACAGGTGCCAGTTCTTCATGAAAGGTCTTTAAGACCCACGGAGGAATGCAATCAGGACCAGCAGCCTTCAGTGCATTCACTTTGCGAAGTCTAGCTATAACTTGCCCAATACTCAGAGGAGGTATTCGACCTTCTGACAGCTTATGGACAACATCTTCCTCAGAGGGAGATGTGTGGATAACTTGATCCCATACAGAAGCAAAATGCTTAGCCAGTGTCACACTCATGTTGCAAGATGTTATATTCCTGAGACTTCACATCTCTCCTGTCTTCTTCCATTCCCATCAAATGCCTTTATAGAGTTAAACCACTGCTTTGGCTTGGTGCAACGTAATTCCTCCACCTCGTTCTGGTAATATTGTATCTTTGCAGTCTTAATTTTTTTTTGGCAACAGTTTATTTAAAATTTGTATAGCGAGTTTTGTTACCAAAGCAGAATGCACGTTGTCTCTCTTTTATCAAATCTTTAATTTGTATATATAATTTTGTCTCAGAGGTACGTTTTCTGCAGAAGATGTGTCAAATGGGCTTGGAAGGCCATTTACCAGCATTCAACATAATGATCTGATGATCAGAAGAGCTAACAGGGGGCAAGTGCTCAGGTGACTTAAACATAGATGAAATGTTGATAAAAATAGAGTCAAGTTGATTGGCCTTTCTTGTTGCTCCTGACAGTACCTGTTTCAGTCCATGTCCATTACAAATGGTTTCAGACTTGTACCTATTTGTGTCTCCAAGTATGACAATTGCAGCTTGCTGGTAGTAACATTCAATGTTGCTAAGGTAATAATCCAAGTGTAGTTAGCGTATCAGGTTGGGCCGTTGCTGAAGAACGTGGTGGAATGTAGAGCACAGCAGCAATGATACAACTTAACCCTTGAGGAAGACAATTGGGTCATAACCAGATCCACAAAGCTTCATGTGCAACATCTGCTAAATGAGCCAGTTGTTTCTGTGTAATGTTGTTACAGACATACATTGCAACTCCTCCTCCACCGCTGCCCTCACGATCCCGCCGATGCAGTGTATATCCAGGAAAATTTACAGATGGTTCTGGAATATCAACATTTAACCAAGTCTCTGATACATTGTACGATTACAGCTAAACTATAGCAAATAAAGGTCTTTTTGGTGGTTGAATGGTACAGCTTAGTTTTCCTCACATCAGAATTCCTGAAATGATACCAAAGCACTTGTACATTGTATATAAGCAACAAACCATGACTCAGTTCCCTCTGATATAAGTAACTCACTCAGAATATGAAGCGAAATCTATTCAGGCGTCTGCGCTATATATAGTATGTGATTGTATAACTTGCTGAAGGTACATGCCTCCATAATACAAACCCGCTGCATATTCGGGTCAGGCTAGACATGTTGCTACTATAAAACTAATGAATCACAGCTCATTTGACATTTAGGTCTCAACCCATGACATGTATGAAAAATTACAGGCCATTTTCACGTAATTAGATGCAGCGCGGCACTCCGGGAGGAAAACACTGACAGAACGCCATTGAGGCAGTTTATAATGGATTACAGAGAGAGCTTCAGCATTAAATGACAAGTAAAGCAGGATGGAAAACATCTGTAAAGAAACATTTAGTCAGGGGAATAAACCCACAACAATGGAGAATTGTATAATTGAAGCACATAATCAATATTCATTAGGTAATATGTGAAATTCACATGCAAAGCCTATTGAAGGTGTCTTGGGAAATCATTAGATCTCTAAAAAGGTCTCCAGGCGGATAAACATGAACAATATGAGGCAGTAAACAGAAGGATCCATTCATTTGCATGCGAGCAATTATGAAGGATAGGCAGGAAAATTGCAGCCATGCAAGTAAACAGTGAGAGAAAGATGAGGTATCATTTCATAAGGTGACTACGAGAAAATGCAGGGAAAAGGGAGTTTAAAAAACATAGAAGGTGGATTAAAGCACTAACAAACTGTAGAGTCTGGACCAATCAGACACACCATTTTTCATTTGATTTAACAAATCAATTATTCATTAGATTAACAAATAATCACAGACCCCTCACCCAATAAACATGCTGGGTGCCAGGATGTCTGCGAACGACCACAGGCCACTGGTCACCATGGCAACCCCGACACCTTTTGCTAGACCAGATCTAAATATTTATAAATAATTATAACTAGTTATGATTAATTATTCATATTTCCCCTTTGAGCTGATTCGCTACAAAACCAAAAAACATGAACACAAATTTCACTATTTCCAGTTCTGTGTGACATTTGGATATATCTAAATAATTTACAGCAGACAAAATCACATTTATTACAGCCAGATGCTGCTGCAGAGGGCAGCCCTGATCAAGTGAAGGAGCGTCACCAACCTGCTGTCTGCGCCGGGTTGATTCCGATGCCATCTTCACAAAAAATAATCACAAAGAACATCAGCATCAGCATTAGCATCGCAATGTGAATACATACACAAAACAATAATTCGTTAAGACAATCAATGAATTAGACAGATGGGCAAGAGCACAGAGAAACCCTTGACGTGCTGAAATGCTTAACTATCACAATTCAAACAATCTAATTTACAATAACTGTCCTGTGCTGTGAGTGGTGAGTTATATCTTCGCTCTGTTAATGATTTGTTTAATAATCACTCAATCATGATCAAAGAGTCAGTTGTTCGTAATTTGAGCAACTGTCGTTGTTATTTTTTAGTGCAGCTGACAAAGAACCCAACCCAATGAAGATGCTAAGGTGATGTGAGCATCTGCCAGGATGCTACTCTGTGGTTGCTAAGGTGTTCTGGTGGTTGTTGGGTGTTTTTTGTAAGTCTGGCTGCTTTGAAAAGTAACAGTGAAGTTAAATACTTTGGTTTAAAGAACTGGTTATCAACAAGGTGGCTGGAGCCCACTAGGGGGCATCAGCAAACTTCCAAGGGGGCCCCAAGATCACTCAAATTTATTTAAAATAAGACAGAAAAAAAAACATTAAAATAGAATAAAACTAAAAATCAAGATATTTCTAATTTTTAACCAGTTTTTTTCCCCTTCTTTGAATAAAAGTTTCCAAGGTCTGGGAAAACCTTATTATTTTAGTTTAATTAGTCAAAAAAAGGTGAGAACTACTGGTTTAAGGATTTGATCAAATATGAGCATAATAATAATAATATTAATATCAACAACTTACCATTTGTAATGATGGCACTGGTGGCTGCAGGCACTTTAAACTTTAAAAGAAAAAAAAAAACATGTTTTATTGTTCAATCCATCAAAAACTTATACTGACAGCCAAATACGTCCCATAAACAGCCCAACACAGTCTCTCTGTCAGGCAAGGATAAGAAAAAATCAACTCGAGTCTGTGTTTGCGTCAGGTGATTTAAAGAGTCTGTCCTAGAGAACAGCAGCCTTCAAACGTGTGAAGAAAGAGCTCTCTGGGCTGAGCTTAGAAGAAAACTGTCACTGTCACAAAGAGCCACTGAAAGGAAAAAAAACAGGCAAATTCGTTCTGAAGGGGCTTTGAAAAACTCGCCGGGTGACCTGAAGGCATTTCTACACCCTTGAACAGCATAAAACTAATTTTAGGGGAGCAAGAAGCCAGGCTAGCACCAGAATTAGTGACTAGAATTAGCAAAATCAAGTGTGTAACCGTTTCTGTTTTTAAAATACATATATAATTCATGGATTACAGTTTTTTGTAGGAGTTTATTCAGTTTCTAATTCTCCTTTGCCTACTTTTTGTCAGTCTGTTTTGTCAGGAGAAAAAGAGACAACAAAAACCATGAAAGATCACATAACCATAACCTGAAGCGGGAATACAAAAATTATTTTTGAGAGGGTGGAAAAAAGCTTAAAATAAGCCAGTGCATTTTTTAAAAGGCACTTTATCATTCTTTCTGGCTTCCACTTGATGCATTATATCTTCCTATTATGAGGTTGTCAGATTTGGCATTTCATTATGTCAAAAAGGAGCAACGACCCAAGCTAATCTGCAACATTATCCTGTCATGCCGTATGGTTGCGTGCCTTGAATACAGCTGTGAAACAGACAAAGACAGCCCACAGGAAATCAAGAGGGTTCTGTCAAATTTGACCCTAATTTCAAAAGATTTATGGCTAATCACGAGGGAAATCATATCATTGAAAATATTGATATCAGCTATTATTTGTGTTTTTTCATTATGGTATTAGCTTGATAATATTAGGCCTTACTTGTTCTAGTTTCAAAAGTCAAGTAGTCGACTAAATAGGTTTTTCAATGGCCAACACTGATACAGCAAAATAGAAAAAAGCAAATATATTGTATATATCTAAATATAATGTAATGGCTGCAACTGAGATGTACACAAAATTGTTGAAATATAACAAATACTTTTACACAATATTTACTCAAAATTCACCTAACAAAATGAAAACAACGCTTACAATCCAATGACAAATCTACTGGCTATCAATATTGTTGTCTAATGAATAGTAACAATTGAATAGTAATAATGAATAGTAAAAAAAATAAAAAATAAATCAAACTTATATGGGCACTTAAGTGTTACAATATATATTATAATATTAAATCATATTAGGAAAAAAAAAACAATATTAGTCTCTCTTAAATGTGTATGCCATTTTTTTTAAACAATATAAATTTATAAAATCAAGTCTTACTGTTTACTGTGCAATTACTGTTGCATTCCCATAAATCAAATTCTTGTAGTCAAAGTAACATTGGCCCTAGAGTTTGCGATATTGTGTGCGATATTGACAAAAAATTATATCTCAATTTTCTGGGATTTTATCAATAACGATAATTAGACAATATTTTGCTAAGCGTGTTATTGTGTTGATATCTTAAGAACTATCGTGGACAGCTGACTCCTGAATTTTTTTGATATTCTTCATATTCTGTGTGGTCAGTTCAGAGCAGTGATAGAAATTAATTATTTCCAACAAGTTTTATGGGCATTTTTATCTTTAAGCCATTTTTTTCTAAAAGTGTGCACCATCTTTTGAGTCAAATTCTT